TTTTTTTTTTATTTGGAACCAACTCAAAATATGTTAAAGTAGTCAAAGCAAGACTTGTATATGCATGAACAAAGCAGGTTTACAAAATTCTGTTGGAAAATATGGATTAAGCAATAGGCTAAACAAAAGTAAAGAGATATGACATGAAATCAATGAAGCACCATCCCGATCCAATCTCAATATAACTACTGCTGCCTCCCCTTTTCTTTTTAGCAAAAGAACACTAAAGCCACAACTTTCAAACTTTAACATGTAGAGATAGACTCAAAGCCACAAATAAATTTCAGATTTTACAAATACACCACCCAAATATTTTAGATTTCCACAAATGGCCACCCAAGAGCTTCATATTTTGCAAAAAGAACACCAAAATATTTCAGATTTCATAAACGAACCACCCAAGAGCTTCATATTTTGCACAAAGAACACCAAAATATTTCAGATTTCATAAACGAGCCACCCAAGAGCTTCATCTTTTGCAAAAAGAACACCCAATGCTACACATGTTCCGCATTTCATGCTTAAGAAATTAAACCTTCCAGCAATTCAACAAAAATATCAAGAAGTAGAGCAGGTATATCGAGCAGCCAAGCAAAACATAGAGTAACCATGCGAGGAGATCAAAAGACTAGCAAGATCACGGAAGAAAGGTTACCTCTTGGTTTAGAGCACACAAGAAAAATAAGAATAGGTGTAGAAGCAATCCGGCAACACCTCCCTTTTCTCCTCCAAAATTTCGGCTCCGAAATCTCCACAAATCTATTCCACAGCACTTCCAAAAGGCCTCACACACACAAGATGAGCAGAGCAAGGGAAAAAAAATCGGACCAAGGAGTTTTAGAGGATATTTTGACAGCACCTCCACCCTCTCCAAGATTTCGGCCAGCCCTAAGAACACCTCGAAATGGGGCTTTTATAGCAGGAGAGGGAGGAGGAGGAACCATATCGCTTACCTGGGCGGTGAGCCGAGCCAAGGGAAGCGACAAATCTCGCGTGAGGGGTGACGTCGCGAATCGCAGAGGCGTGGCACGGCGCGGAAGGTTTTCGCAGGGCAGCAGGCGTACGAGGAGCACGCGGAAGGGGGGACCGCTCGGCTAGGGCTGCGATCGGGAGGAAGGAGTCTCGGCTAGGTTTCGCGAACGAGAGGAGGGAGTCTCGGGCCGGCTCGCGAGTGCGAAGGAAAGCTGGGGCCGTCGGTTAGGGCTGCGATCGGGGGGAATTTGGGTATTTAGGGATTTAGGAATGTAAAAACGAAGGTTTAGTTTATATAAATTAATATATATGTATATATATATATATATAAA